TGACTGCATACAAATTTATAGTACTGCAGTGGTTAAAGTTAGGGTTATAAAAACAGGTGGATCTAAAATAATAAGCAACATGGACTGGGGACGTAGCTTGGTGGCAGAGTGCTTGCCTAGTATGCGCAAGGCCCTGGGTTCAGAAAATAAATACATAAATAATCAAATAGCAAGCAACAGTAACACGTAAAATGGGAGACTGTAATTGAAGTTGAGTCATTCTTAGCGTATCCTATAGTTGAAAGGAAATTGATATACTTTGGATTAATTATATATATTAAAATCATAATCACAGAAAGAGTACAAACAACTTATAATTTCTAGATTAGTGAAAGAGGAAAAAGGGAACAAAAAAATTCTTGATTCAATAGAAGAAAAGCAAGGAGGTAAACAAAAAGCTCTGAGAAATCAAAGTGAATAAAATATGCAGAATAAGACTCAAGAGGTAAATTCCAGAATGTCAGAAATCAGTAGAATGCTAAGCCTTATACATTGCTTCTATGACACAACTTGGAATATCTTTTTTTTTTTTTTTCTGGTACTGGAAATCGAACTCACAACCTTGTGCTTGCCAGGCAGGCGCTGTGCCACTGAGCTAAGTCCCCAGCCCCTGGAATATCACTTTGGAAAACAGCTCAGCATTACCTCATAAAGGTACATTATGTTCACATACCTTATGACCCCGCCAGCAATCACTCCAAAGAGATATTCTGGCCTACATATACTAGGAGACAAAATGTTCATTATAGTTCTGTTTGTAACAGCAAAAAACTAGAACACCACCACGCTTACTGAAAAGAGAAAGGGCAAAGTAACCTGCAGCAAATCTCATAATGGAATATTAGACAACTATGAAAAACTATAAGCAGATGCATCAATTTAGTTGATTAGTAATTCTGTGTTGAGCAAAATAATCAGCCTCATAATATTCTCATAAAGTTTTACAATGAGTAAAACAAAACATTATTTAGTCACTGATATGTGTGGTAAAAGTTTTTCAAAAGCAAAATAATAATAACTACAAGACTCAAGGGTGTTACTTCAGTTAGGGGAATGAGATGGGAGGAGCACACAAGCAGACGTAAAGCACTGTCTGGTTGAATAGTAGGGTCATGGGTGTTCATAATCACATATAAAATAAAATAGGGCCGTGATTATACCCAATAACAACGTGTTATAAAAGAGATCATGAGGCTGGGCATGGTGGCACATGCCTATAATCCCAGCACTCAGGAGGCGGAGGCAGAAGGATCGCTGGGAGTTCACTGCCAGCCTGGGCTACAAAGTGAGCTCAAGGCCAGCCTGAATGGCATAATAAGACCCTGTTCTCAAAAAAGACAAAAATAGGCGGAGGATATAGCTCAGAGGCATAGCACCTGCCTGGCAAGTGTGAGGTCCTGAGTTCAATTTCCAGCACACATAAAAAGAGAGACTAAAATATAAATAAAATCATGATTAATATAAATCCATTTAACTACCAGCAGTCATAAATGTAAACAGGAAGAGAATTTACCATTTACAAGAGACTCAACTAAAACTTAAGGACATGGAAAGGTTGACAGTAGAAAGACAGAAAAGACAGCAGGAAAGTATTAAGTAAAAGAGTAACTACATTTATCTTACATTAGACTCTAAAACATCACATCATCTGGGTCAATATAAAAGGAATACAGCTGCCTAGAATAGTAAACTGAAACTTGTATATACTTAATTGTCTTGAAATACACAAAATAAAAACAGAGAAAAGTAAAATAATGCTTTAGAGTGGAAGGTTTTAACAGTTCTTTTAGATACATGTGCTGGGATACTTTTAAAATACAAACAGCAAAACCTGAGAGATTTATAGAAGAAACCGGAAAATCCAGACATGGAGAAATTTTAATGAACCTCTAGAAAAAGTGGTAGATGAAGCAGACAAAATATTAAGAAGACAATAGAAAACCTAGATGCTCTAAGCAACAAGCTCGTTTTAATCAGATGCATATAAGGTGCTACACTTAACAAATTCTAGACATGCTTTTCAAAAAGACAGATACGATTTATAAAAATTGACCATGTATCATTTCCATAAATCACAGTGTCTTATTTTTATAGGCCACATTCTCTAGTTAAATTAGACATTAAAACAAATTCTCAAATTAAAATCTGAAAAAAATAATTAAAAAAAAAGAAAAAAAGCTACTAGCCAGGCATGGTGGCACATACCTGTAATCCCCAGGAGAGTCTGTCGGGGGCGGTTAGGCAGGAGGATCACAAGTTCAAGTCCTGTATGGGTACAAGTCCTTGCTTTAAAAACTAATAAGGGATGGCGATGTAGCTTAGTACGCAGGCCCTGGGTTCAATCCCCACTGCTGTTAGTGAATAAATGAAAAAGACAAAAACAACTTCCAATTCTTCCAAGACAAAAACAACTTTTCATGTTTAGAAATTATAAAATATACCTATATTGAGCCATGAGTCAATACAGAAATCACATGTGAATTACCAATTTTTAAAACCAAATAAGAAAAAGTTTATATATGTAGCTTGGTATCTATGGTGAAATCTGTAGATGTACTGTAAATGTTCAAATCAGTAAGCAGAAGATTAAAATTAATTACCTATGCTACCCAGTCAAGACATTTACAAAAGAGCAACAGAATAAACTTGTAGAGTGGAAGGGAATGTATCAGATATGTAATATATGTTACTATTACATGACATAATTTTATGTAGTCCATAAGAATGTAAGATATGTAATATATAGCAGAATTAATGAAACAAAGAAAATACTGTTAATAAAATTAAAACCTGATTTTTTGAAAATGCTACTAGAAAGAAGAAAACACTAAAGAAAAAAAGGCAGAACTCTGGTACAACTGAGCCAGATAAAGGAAGATATGTCTAAAATAATACTTGGAATGAAAAAAAGGGACATTGTGGATAAAGAGAGAGATTAAAATATACTAACACTGTGAACTGCATTTTTTGTCAGTATTTTTGAAAACTTAGATGGTATGGATAATTTCCTTGAAAAACAGTGTGTGCAAAAATGGATTCAAAAAGGAAACAGAAAAGCTGACGAGATCCATAACCATTGAGGAAATGGAATCAGTAGTTAAAAATCAACCTATGAAATGGCTTTCCCAGCCCCAGACACTTCGCTGGCAAGTTCTACCAAATATTCAAGGAACACATAATTCCAATCTTAAACACACTGTTCCAGAAAATGAAAAAGAAGGAACATTTACCCGTTCACTTTAGGAGGCCTGTGGAACCAAACAAAGGCACCATGAAAGGGGAAATTGCAGCCAGTTTTTTCCTCAAAAAATCCTGGGATGAAATTAGATATTGACCGGCATTCATCCATCCATTCATCCGTCCACCCGTCCATCCGTTCACCCAGCCATCCATCCACTCAGCAGGTATCTGTCGAGTGTGCCCCATGCACCAGCAGGCACTGTGCTGGTACAAGGAGAGCCACAGTGGCTGGGAAGCTGCGGCCTGCCGGAGAAGATGGGCAATAAAGAAAATGATCACAGAGACGAGGCACACAGAGCACGTTCCGGCAGGTTAACAGTGTGTGTCGAGGGCAGCTGACCGGGACACAGCCCTGGGAAAGCTTTCCAGGCACACAAGTGGACTAAGAGACGTGGGAAGACTGTTCTGGAGGCCACACTGCAGGGCTTCAGGTGGGAGATGTGGGATGCAGTACAAGAAAGATGGGAGGGCTCCTCGAGGTGATGCCCCCAGACCCGCCTTCCTGATGGATTTGTACACGAGGGGTCAACCTTGTTGTCTCCTAGGGCTAGGACTGGTCACCGACAGAGGGAACCTTAAAAGAGATTCAGGTTTAGGGCAAAAGAGTGTGCATGTGGTTTTGGACATGTTGGGTTTGGAGAACTTTCAGGAGTGTTAAATGCAGATGTTGACCAGGAAACTGACCCGTGTCTGGAACTCTTTGTGAAGGTCAGGGGTGAAGATTGAGGGCGGCATCAGTAGGTAGCAGGTATGTAAACCCATCCCACCAAAATTCACAGCAGGGAGAAAAGAGGGCTGGAGATGAGCTTCAGTAGTGAAAGGAGAGGCAGAAGAGGAGTCAGCCAAGAGATGAAGGAAGGACTGGTAAGGGGTGAGGGGAACCAGACGGGCTGGCATCAGAAGGGCTGGGGACAACGGAGTCCCCCGACAGCACTGCCCACCAGTGTGGAGACTAAGGGGGTGAGGTCTGCCGCTGTGCGCCAGAATTCTCCTGATGCAGGGACTGCGTCGAGGGAGAGAGCTGGAGGATACATGGCATTAATAATAATCCATTCATTACCAATAACTTAGTGGGAAGGGACAGTAAGAGGGAATTTTTGGGACAGTGAAATTGTTCTGCCTCTTGATCCTCGTAGTGGCTATGTGATTGTGTGCCTCTGTCAAGACTCAGAATTACAGAGCAAGACAGGGCCTGGGACTATAATGTTACTAGTTATAAATTAAACATAAGTAAAAAAAAACACTAGGGATGAGAGACTTCCGTCTAGTCATCTCTCAGCCACGGAATTGGTCACCTCAGAGCTAGTCCTTGTCCTCATCACGTGTCCGCCTGTATGGGCCTATACCAGGAGGAAGGGCACCCACTATCACCTTGTGAAGGACAGAACAAACAGAAAGGCAGCAGAACCAGTGGTACCGGACTGATGGCTAGAGCCCCTCCTAGGAACTGACTTGGGGGGGCGGGGGGCGGGGGACTGGCACCTCTGTGACCCTGAAGTAAAATGAAGGGGTTGGCCTAAGCAAGGTCTTTCTCAGATGACCTGTCTAGAGTGTAATAATCCATAAATACAATGCAATTAGCTCTGCTGTCTGCATTTTGTTATTGAGAATAACCATAACACTGGCTCTTCAACACGAGACCCCCAGGGGACCTGAGAAGCAGTGTGGAGGGACTGAAGAGCTTGGGTTTGTGGCTTAAAGCCTTAAAGCGCCTCCTAAAGATCGTATTAAGTAATGACTGGTAATGAAAGTGACCCACGTTAAGTGTGCAATGAAAAATTTGTTCACTTTTGATACTTCACCCCCACCTCACCCATCCCGTCAGAGAGGTATTAGCTCAATTTAGAGGCCAGGGAGGGTGAGGGCCTGGTCGCCTAAGGCTTGGGCTGCTGGTGTGATTTTCCAAAAGTTCCACGTTTCTAGGACCCACAGTGGATTTGGTACAGTTTGGTGTTGAGTGTATTCCATTGTCTTCTAATCCTATAAAAATTAATGGAAAAGTGTTAATTGGGCATCAAGTCACGCTTCACATTAATCTGAGCATTTGATGAACCACAACTTTATGTTGCCCCTCATGCCATATTAACTTAGCTTATTGCAATAATTAAAAACAATAAGGATAATTATATCCTTATTGTTTTAAATACCCCATAAATTGAATCCAGCGTGAATTTGGCCAGTGTGGAATCTGCTGGAGAAGTGAGCGATATCTTTGGGAAGCTAAAAACATCGTCTTTCTGGAGTTCTTACTGTACACAGGGAAGAAAGCAGCATTTATTAAGCACCTACTGTTGCCAGGTCCGCTACTGCACCTAATTGCCCCCAATAGTCATCAATGAGGGGGTAGGGGACTTAAGCCTTCTGCCGCCCCAGTGACCTCCCCACTCAGGTCCTAGGAAGTCTTGGGCTGTTTCAGTCTCTTGCATTTTACTGTCTGAGCACGGAAAGCTTGGGTAACTAGAGAAATAATAAAATAGGGAGTAGACCGGCTGGAGAGGGCTTTCCTGAAATTACCTCTTCCCAGCCATCCTGGAACCGCTACAAAAAGGCTTCTCACTATAGAGACTTCTGTTCTGAGCCCCTATCATTTGACCTTACCCCCACCCCCCCTGCCTATTTTATTATAGTTTTAAAACGCTGCGTGATTAACGCGGAGACCCTTTCTTCACTTTCTCGACACCGCAATCTCCACAGTTCTCTAAGTTCCAAAATAACCTTTCCCGGGCACGAATTCGTACCTCTGGCGGGGAAGGGCGGGAGCCGCGCAAGACGTTCCGGTGCGGAGCGAGCGCCGAACTTGCAGCGTGAAGACAAAATAAAACTTGCGGCCGGTGTTTGTGCCGGTGGGGGGGTCTCCGCCATCCTGAAGCCCCCTCTCCTTCCCGATCCTGGGGTGGGGGTCTCGGGGGCCGCCCGAAGAGCGCCAGGGTGTGGGTTTGCTCCCGACGTCCTTGACCTAAATTTCTGCACGGTGGCTGGAAACCGGGCGCAGAGCTGGCCGGGCGGCTGGTGCCATCCGCGATCCCCGCGGCCAGGCCCGGCGAACTTGAATGGAGAGGACGAACTAGTGCGGGGGGACGGGGCGGGGGGGCGTCTCCTCCCGGCCCGGGTGAGGAGCCACGGCCGGCTCTCCGCGCCGCCCCTTCCCCCGGTCTTCCCGCCCCCCCGCAGCCCATGTGATCAGGGGAGTCGGGGTGCGCTCCCCCTCTTCGTCCGCGCCCCGCCGGCCGGGAGGCGGGGCCCCCCTCAGGCCGCGGGGTTCGCGCCCCGCCCCCGTGGGTCCGCCGCGGTCCACGGGGGGCCGAGTGTGAGCGCGGACAGGCGGGGGCCGCCCCGGGGTGCGTGACGTCACCGCATTGGTTACACGACGTTCCAGAACTCCGCCCCACACGCGCGGGGAGGAGGGGAGGAGGCGGAGGCGGCGGAGGAGGGGATGGGGGTGGGGAGGAGGAGGGGGAGAGGTGGGGATGGGCCGGGGGGGCGGGGACCGGGGCAGGGGGGGTGGGGGGCGGCGGGGCTGAGCTAAGCCGAGCCCACGTGTGACGGCTCTCGCCGCGGCCCCGGCTCCGCGGCTCGCAGCGCGATTCTGAGGAGCCCGGGCGGGGGGGCCGAGGAGGGGGAGGAGGGAGCGGAGATCTGGGGCTCGGAGCCGGCCGCCGCTCCGCTCCGATCGCTGTGGGGCTCGGTGTGTCGGGGGTGGGGGGGCGGGGGGGCTCCGCTATGGAGGCAAATGGGAGCCAAGGCACCTCGGGCAGCGCCAACGACTCCCAGCACGACCCCGGGTAAGTTTCCAGCCTCTGCCCACCGCGCCGCCTCGGCTGCCCTGCTTGCGGCGGGCGGCGGGGCCGGGCATCTCCGCGCCCCCGCGCCCTCCCGCGCCCTCCCCCCCTGGAAGTTACACACCTTGGGGTGGCGTTCGCCGGCCCCTGCTCCCCCACCCACCTCCCGCCTGGCGCTCGCCCGCTCCCCCCGGCTCTCCGTGTAGCTTTTGTAAGTTACACGTCAAAATGGCCGATCTGACATCGGTGCTCACTTCTGTTATGTTTTCTCCCTCTAGTAAAATGTTTATCGGTGGACTGAGCTGGCAGACCTCACCAGGTAAGGGAGGGAGGGGGGGACCCAGGCGTCCCCCCCTTCTTGGCTTTTTTATTGCTCTTTGTTATCCCGGTGTAGGAGCCCCCCCCCCCCCCGCCCGCTTCCCCACTTCTCCTGTGCAAGGTTATTTTTTTAAATAGCAAATCCTTTCTGAGCCCTCTACGCGACCTCTGTTGCCGAATTTCCCCCGCGTGTGCAGAAAATGCAAAAACAGAACAGAATAACAACAGAAAACTACTTTTGGTTTTTGTCCTTGATCACAATTTGCATTGCTTTTTTTTTTTTCTCCACACCCCCCCTCTCCGCCCCATCTCTCTCTTTCTCTCTCTACAGATAGCCTTAGAGACTACTTTAGCAAATTTGGAGAAATTAGAGAGTGTATGGTCATGAGAGATCCCACTACGAAACGCTCCAGGTAAACCATTGCCTTCTGGATTTTGTCTTATTTTAGAACAAAGTTTAAGTCTTATTTTTGGAGGTGTCTTCGGAAGTAGCTAAGCGGATTTAGAATGGGGCTCAGGCGCAAGGCTGGTCTGGAGCACCCCCCCCCCATAACCTGAAAGGTTATTGTTAATTAGGGCTAAACTCTGGATGCAGAGATGGCCATCTCTCCTCTTGAAGTCATTTTCCTGTCGCTTCTTTCTTCTCTCGTTTAAAATGACATTCGGCTTCATTCACTTTCCATATAGTTTTTTTTTTTTTTTTTTGTAATGTGTGTCTTCCTCCTACTCTGAGCTTTCCAAACTCTCAAGTCCTCTCTTGGAAAGGTGGGTGGATCTAAGTGCCTGGCTTCTTGGGAATAAAACAAAGCATTGAGAAAGGGAAGAGGAGAGAAACTGAGGCGACCAGGGTGGGGACTCCAGCCTTCTCCCAAGTTATCTTCAGCCGCCCTGTCCCCAGCCACTTCCCCGTTAACCTTGATATTTTCCCTGGCGAGGTGGAGGGCTGTGGGAAGGAGGGGCTTTGGGGGAGGGAGTGGGACCGGGGGGCTGGGGGGGCGCTTCGGCTCCCCATTCTGCATGAGGTCTCCTTGTTGCTTTCAATGGTGTCACATTTTCGTGTTTGTTTTTCTCCCTCTTTGTCTCCTTTCAGAGGCTTCGGTTTCGTCACGTTCGCAGATCCAGCAAGTGTAGATAAAGTATTAGGTCAGCCCCACCATGAGTTAGATTCCAAGACGGTAGGTTGCTTTTTCATTGTTGTTTTGTGGTTGTTGTGTTGTTGTTGTTGTTCTTAGCCCCTTTTCAGGACCGGTATGGTCATTGACAGCCCCATTTAAAGGGACAGCGCCTTCTTTTGCCTTTGTGCTGGATAGAACGGGGTACTTTTAAACAGAGCTAGCGACTTGGCTCACAAGTTTGCTGCCTCGGCTGGATTGGGGGTTTTCTTTCTAGAGCCTGTCCCGCTGCAGCCCCGCGGGCTGCCAGGCTGAGGCTGGGGGCGGGGGTCCGGCCGGGGAGAGGCTGTCCTGGGGCGAGGGGCTGCTCAGGGAGCCTGCGCCGGAGAGCCAGTGGAACTTTGTCAGCCGAGCACCAACTGTGGCTGTGCGAGCTGGCTTGTGGAAGGCACTGCCTCTTCCTGGCTGAGGGGCGCCCTTTGGAAGGAGGGCAGGGGGCGCTCCTCTTAGGTCCGGGCAACAGGTTTCTCTTGGGGCACTTGGGATTTGGAATGTGGTTGGGAAGGGAAGGAGACGCCGGCAGTGCCAAGCTGGGCATCCATTGGCGGAATTCCAGATGGCCTGAAATTGCAGGCTGATAAGGCCTTGGGTTTCAAAGTGGTTTTTTTTTTTTTCTTCTTTCTTCCTTTGCTCTGTAGATCCTTTCATTTGCCTGTGGATACTTTTACAGCGGCAGAACTTTTTTCAGATTCAGAGTCTTAGAGGGGAACCGACTCTAGGGTGAGGTCAGGGGGAAGGCAGAAAGAGTATCAGTCTGTAATAATAAACTGAACGTTAAGGGAGGCTGGGGAGCCTGCAGTGTTTTGTTTAGCCCCTGAGCTGGCTTCCTGCCTCTCCTGCCGTCCCTGTGTGTCTCCTTTGCTTTCCTCAGAATTCTTGCTTCGAGTCCTAAAGCTTGGGCCTCAGGATGACATGGGATCTCAGAGCTGGGCGGGGTGGCACTCCGCTTCTCCTGGGTGGGCTTGTGGGGTGAGGCAGGGGGTGGGGCTCTGGGCCCAGTTGCCCATTCCGAACTTGGGCAAGTGATTCCTGCCTCCGGGCCTCCATTTTCCTCTTCGTGAAATAGACTGGATAAAGTGATCTTTCAAGCCCTTTTGGCTTTATCATTGAATGGAGGAGGAAAAAAGGAACCTGGCAACCTTTGGTGCCTTCGGATTCATTTTACAAATTCACCCTCTTTCGCTGCCCTCTCCCCCTAAGAAAAAAACCTCCTATACTTAGTTGATTTATTAATTGTCCTGGACATGTCCATGCTTGCAGATCGGCTTTTTTGTACTTTCAGATAATTTCAGGAATAATCCTTTGTAGGGTGATAATGGATGTCTGAAGATTTTTTTCTCTTGCTTTCTTGGCTTGATGTTTCAAAAAACTATTAAAATTAAAGAAGAAAATCATTTCAAGGCAAATTTGGGGATTTCTTATTCACCCCCGTCACCCTACCTGGGTGGGAGAACTAGAGTGAGGTTTTGGTGGTGGCTGGTGGGTCGGGTCCCTCAATTAAGTGTGTAGTCTGCAGATTCCCCCCCCCACCCCCATTGATTGTAGACATGTTTTGGTCGCGGTTATTTAGTATAACCTAGCTTTTGACTTTGTTTCAACGTTCAGTGCAGGAGGCAGAAGCGGTTGGTTTATTGACATGGATACGAGGATCTTGTTTACTGTTACCTTAAAAGCTTTGTTTAGGTAACCGCCATTCCCATCCCAAATAGTACCCTAGTCATTTCCTAGAGGACTCTGTAGCTACAGTAAGTAGAGCTGTACCTAACTAACTAATGTTTTAATTTTTGGTAGTTTCTTTTTTTGTTTGTTTTGTTTTTAAAAACTAGTCAACAGGGATGTGCAAAAGGTTGGGATTTGCCATCCTGCCCTGACCCTGCCTGTCCTTTAGAGACCCCAGGGTGCACTTTGTACGTGGAAGAACACCGATCTCAGTGTGACACACTGGTGTCACCACACACCACACAGTTCACAGTTGTGGTTTTGTAATTTCAGATACGTACTTTTCTTGGCGTTTCGTGTTCTTCTTTGTACGTTTTTGTTTCTGGCCTCTCCCCTGGCATGCCCCTCACCTTTTACTGCGCAAACAAGGTGACATTGCAGTTGTGCTGGCCAGCTAAAAAAAAAAAAAAACAGCAACAAAACCCCAAATAACTGCTTTGGGGAGCATTTGTGAACAGATGCCTCTGCCTCTACCTTCGGTCAACAGAATGGAAAATCCACACCTGTTGTATTTCTCTTGTAGACAAGCTCTAGTCAGTGCTGGGTCCACCTGTAGATGTGGTCACGTTAATCTTTATGGAAGGGTAGCTTCCTAGATCAGAGATTTGTGTCTATTTTAGTTTTTGAAAAGTAATCTCTCATTTCTCAGGTGATGCTTAGAGGTAGAAAACACGATGTAGACTTCTATCAGGTCTTTAAACTACCTTAATAAAAGCGATAAATCTTTATATATCTTCCTGGTTGACGTCCTAGGAGGTGGAGGTCAGAGAACAGAGGAACTAACTACGGTGTGCTTTTCCCCCCAAAGCATTATTTTTTTTTCCTCTACAGCAGAACTGAAGACAAAGTTCAAGTTAACTTTTTAAAAGGGGAAAATTTTATTATGAGAGCAAAGCCTATAAACAAATACTTGTAGCACTATTCCTGCCATTCCCCGTTTTGAATTTTCTCCCAAGATTTGTGACATTTAGAAAGCTAATGAAAACCAACAACGGTTGTATTTATGTTTATGCCTTTCCTCCTCTTTTTATCTGTCCAATAACTTTTTTGTCCTCACGTCAGCCTGTTAGGTTCAGATGATGCTGTGGGAATTGTTTTGGGTTTTAAAGCCAGTCGCTGACTGAGAATCGCGTGCTGTACTAGCATCTGATTTGCAGTGGAGGAGTTTTTCCATTGGAGTTGAGGTTGAGTGGGGAATACCCTAACTGTCAGTAGATCCCGATTTTTTTTGTTCAGCCATTTTCTTTTTTTACCTGCCCCATGATGGCCTTGCAGTTTTTAAAATCCAAGTGGATTAAATTCTTGTACATCCTTTTCTTATTCACTATAATTTTTTTTTTCTTTTTAAAGAGCCAAGGCAGGCTTCATCTGCTTTCTTCTGAGGTATGATTTCGACGCAAATGATCCTTTTGATTAATCCCGGATAACT